ATCATATTTCTATATTTATAATTTTTTCGGATAGAACATGCAATTTAAATTTTTTTTTACTCTTGACATTTTTTTTATAAACCCACTCGTTTAGGAGTTACAGCCTATGGAATAATGACTTTCGGTGTACATTTTAAATCATGTAGCTCCCAAACAAGTAGGTTTATAGCGAAAATGCAAAGAGTAAATAAGTCAAATAAGTCTTAAAATTTCATCCACATTCCAGAAAGACCATAAAAAACATAGTTTTCCACTTTTCAAATTTGCCACCATTTTGGAAAATGGCCACCATATTTTTAATAATAGAATGAATATTTTTAACGAATTTTATGGTCTTTTTGGAATGTGGATGCAATTTTAAGACTTATTTGACTTATTTACTCTTCCCTTTTTCGCTATAAACCTACTTGTTTAGGAGCTACATGATGTAAAATGTACACCGGAAGTCATTTTCCATGGGCTGTAACTCCTAAACGAGTGGGTTTATCGAAAAGATGTCAGGAGTAAAAAAGTTTTTAAATTGCATGTTCTATCTGAAAACATGATAAATATAGGGTGTTCCATAAGAAATTTCAAAGTTGACCGCCATATTGGAAAATGGCGGCCATTTACACAAATTTTATTTAATTATTTTGGAGCCTCTTTAAGAAAAAGGGAATGTTCCTCATTAAAAGATTGCTGTAAAAGCATTAGTTACTGAGATCCCAATGGTGGCACACTTTTAGTTAACTTTATCAAACATATGATTCATTTGCTTTAAAAAATCTTCTGTCTTCATAAAAGTAGCCTTTTTCCCTACTGTCATTTTAATGTTCACTTTTTCTGTTTACCTATCAGTTCACTTTCAAATACAATGATAACTTTTGAGATGGGATAGTTTATTTATGCAGTTTCATTCATAGGTAGTAAAAATCAATCTATTTCATTATGTAATTGTATTTTTTCAATTAAGGTGTATTTTAATGTTTTCATAGATATTTTTAAGTATTGTGTTTACCAATTTTTGATTATTCTCCATAAGATTAACATTGAGTTATCTCGGCAAGAAAACATACTTAAGTTATTACTTTCAATATCTCTGTAACAAATTGAAGGAGAACAAATATTCAATATACTACATTGTTAGGTTTTTGTGTTGAATCTAATATTGAAAAAATAAATTTGAAATTATAACAAACATTGTACAAAATGTTAGAAAAACCTGAAAATTCATCTTTGGGTTACTTTGTCTGCCTGGTTTTCATGTTTAAGGTTGGAAATATAGTTCTACATGTGTTTGCCAATTTTTGTGGAAATCGGCCAATCCTGAACTATGAATTGACGAATTTGCAGTCATCTTGTCGATTTGAGGACCTCACGGCAGCCATCTTGGAAAAGCCTGATTTCCGGTTGTCCGATTTTGGTAGACTTTTTTCTTGGTACTTTCTACACCTATTGCTACCAAAAACCGTCAAAAAACCATTTGTTGGAATTTGTTGTATCTTAGAGGCTTTAGAAGCACGGGTATAGGTCTAAATCGACTCGTCTATATTGTGAAATCAAAATTCATTTGACGATTAGTTCTGCTTGTTTACATTTTTAAACTTTGTAGGTTTGTTCTTTGTCACCATGGATACCATCTATCAATACTTACTTTTAGATCTCTCACCTCAAATTTTTGAAAGCCCAAGGGCGGAGCCCTAGGGCAATATCGAAGTGGGAATAGTTCTATATGTATCCTCGGGGCTGTAGCTTCATTTGTGTGCAATTTGAGCCCATTCGGTTCAGTAGTTTTTGAGATTATCTCATACAAACACACAGACCCACACACAGACACCACCTTTCCTTTATAATAGTATAGATTTCTTGATCTACGTCATTCAAAAGTCACCAGCTGATCTTATGCCTTTGTTTATGTGTCGGGTCGCCGGATTTCTACCCCCGGATATTTACCCCCATGAAAAAACGCCTACGTCATTTTGACGTCACGAGGGGCGGGGCCTATACACGGTCGAGAAACAGCCCGCGACTGGAAATCTACCCCCGGACATCTACCCCCGGACATCTACCCCCGGACATCTACCCCCAGACATCTACCCCCAGACATCTACCCCCGGAAATCTACCCCCGGACATCTACCCCCCGTGGTCAGCTCTGTCACGTATCGGCCAATATTCATTGTTGTAATTGATTTTATTGACCGTTTTATGTAAATCAACGGCTCTTCGGTTGGTAATTGCCCTCTATAATATCTAGTATTACGCATGTAATATGTCATTGTCTTGTTTAACATTATCTATCTTTCTAATGAAATAGGCTGTAACAGCCCTTTTTCACCCGAGCTACTTCATTTTTTTTATAATCGAGGTGTAATTTTAAATCTTATGATCTAGCGCAACGCAAAATGGGAATTAAAACGATATTTTGATAAAGGGCTTCAAAAGTTTGACCCTTAAGCAAACCTTTAAAAGTTCCCTTCCCAGATTTGTTTACGTTATCGTCATATGGATTATTGTTTACTACTTTTAATGAAACAGCTGTTAATATTAAAATTGTATTTTAAACAACACATAGAGAGTTACTGAGTTTGTCAAAAAGAAGTATTTACAATGTAGTTTTCTGATTTAAAAATTTATTTTATTCTGCATCATCTCATGTTCTGCAATACAGTATAACGTTCCATTACGAAATCATTGGAAAATATTACATACAGTAACTATTAAAATTATTACTTATTGAATTATCTTATATCTATTATACAGCTTGGTGTCTGCATTTTTGACCACTTTTGCCAATATTTTGTCATATCTAAGACAGATCATCATAGGTTCATAATATTATTTTCATACATGTATTCAGTTATTGGAAAAGATTTTGATTGTGTAATACAATACAAATAATACAAGTGCAGAAGGGCACATTGCCCATATGAGCCGTGTAATATTTTTAAATTAATAGTGGTTTACAGCAACTGAATTAAATTTTTAATAATTTTTATGAGGAAATATGTGCACGATTTAGATAGTCATCAATCTGCCAAGTTGCAATTTATCGCAGACTTGTTAGAGATGTTACTTTGATGTATTCATTCAGCTTAGTGAAAACACAATAGAGCATTTGGATGTTATTAAACTAACTACATACTACAAAAAAGGTTCAGGACAGGGCTATTTTAATGCTCTTTAATTGAGACATTTATTAATCCGGCTCATATTTTTCTTAGCCAACGAATTATTTATCTACAGAAGAAGTTCATTGTGCTCTTATCCTGTCTACTAAGACACATACATCCAACACTTCCAAACACAATAACACCTATGACGGACGGTATAAGAAATATGTTATTCATTGAATGATAAACCATATTTTGTAACTAACGCAATAGTCATTATTGTTTCTACACTTATTTATTACTCATTAAACAATGCTAAATGCTCACGTTTTTTATAATTTCACTCTGTCACAGTTAAAAGAATTATCGTAAGCCTTTAAAGCAACCGTCGATTTTGACGGGTTTCACCTAGTAATTAATTAATTTATTGATCAACTGGTGGTAGGCTTTTTATCAACATTCAATTGCACTGTATTTTTACCTCTAGTAATCAGAAAATAACCTCCTTCAATTATATGTTTTAAATTTCACGATCTGCGCTCGTGCACACGCCTTTAGCCGTTACTGTGTGTGAAAGTTGGCCAAACATTTAAATCACTGTCTAGAAAAAAATCAAAAGCTTAAGGGTCAAACTTTTGAAGCCCTCTACCAAAATATCGTTTTAATTAACATTTTGCGTTGCGCTAGATCTTAAGATTTTAAATTACACCTTGATCATAAGAATCGGTGAAGTAGCTCGGGTGACAAGGGCTGTTACAGCCTATTTCATTAGAAAGATAGATAATGTTAAACAAGACAATGACATATTACATGCGTAATACTAGATATTAGAGGGTGTTAAGGCCAGATTTATTTTAGTTTCAAAAACATTTTATTTTAATCCCCTTTGCTTGACCAGAATAATTTCATTTTATTTCCCCAATACCTACAGCCAGTTTACCTATCCATCCTATAACCAGTATTCAAATTTGCCGCCATACCCCACTACCTCAAATCAAGAGTCACCTGGGAAGAACACTGGGTCACATGACCTCACTTCTTCAACATGGCTGGAACAACAGGAATCTACAGTATGAGGTATTCCTAATTTTAGCAATTCCTTTAGTTTCGCCACCTCCTACTCATTTTAATCATTCCTAATCGCTTTATTTTCATGGTCCTTCGAGTCTGATTCATAAATTTTCCTATTATTCCTGTTTTTTACTTCAAAAATTAGCAAATTCAAATCTGGCCTAGCTTTACATTCACTTGCTTATTTGAAGACTATTTGAAGAAGTATTTTAGTTATCAGCAGTTTTATTATCATTTTTAATCAATTTCCACCAATTAAAATAGTTTACATCAAGATTTATTAGTTTTTTGGCAATTTGATTCACATGTGCAAGATTGCAGGATAATTCAGGAGTTTTGTCAGGATTGCAACCTGAGGGAAAAGTTCCCTGGAATTACCCACCAAGATTCCCCACAATTACCCCACAGTGTGGGAAATTTCCCGAGAAATATCCCTTTTGGGTAAAACTAAAGAAGAAATTTCCCAGATATGAAGAATTTATGCTGATTTATTTAAGTTGCTAAGAATTATTCTTTTTAAAATATTTGTTTGATACTGACTGTTTATTTTCACCATTTTGCATAAATATTGAAGAGTCTGGCACTTACAATAATTATTGTCACTGGTTGGTTTATTGTAAACAGAGATTGCCACTTTAATAATTTTACAATTACATGCAGATTAAGAAGACTATTTATCAAGACAACATAATTGAAGTTTTCTGCAATACTTAACAAATTATTTTAATTGAATTATCATACTCTCAGTCAAGTGGTAACTTATAAATATTTGTTGTGGAGTTTTTTTGAGTTTCTACAGATCTAGGCTATTTGTAAATGACAATAAATAGCATTTACAATGGCAGATGCCAAACTAAAGAGAGATATTGATCTTCTGATTTATAAAAGAGATAATATTGTTCAAAAAATTGAGTTTTTGCACAATCAAGCTGAAACTTTGTCTATAGAGGCTAGCCCAATTGAATTATCAGAGTTCAAAGTTCGTTGTGATCGTCTCCCTGCCCACTATGAAAGTTTTGAGCGTTACCAATCTGACATAGTGAAAGGTTATGTCCAGCTCAAAGATACTTCTCAGCTGGAGGGAATTCTTGCCAAAAATAAGGTTGTAGATGAGAAATATTTTTTTATTCTTGCTACCAAAGACAAGTTTCTTTCACCTCTTGTTAGACAGGAAAATGTTGAAAATGTTAAGCCTATCGCCTCCACAGCTGTTAGACTCCCAAAAATCAATCTACCCACATTCGAGGGAGTTTTGAAAGACTGGCCTCATTACAAGGACCTTTTTCTTGCTCTTGTTCACAATAATGTATCGTTATCCCCTGTAGAAAAACTTCATTTTTTACTTTCAAGTACAAAGGGTGAACCACATACCTTGGTAAAAGGCATTCCCATTTGTTCTGACAACTATGAACTTGTTTGGACACAGTTAAATGAGAGATATGATAACAAAAGGTTGTTAGCAGCCAATTACATTGATGAAATTTTAAGTCTTACCCCCATCCATTTCGAGTCTCCTAAGCCATTAAGAACTCTACTGGACACACTAAATGAGAATACTTCAGCCTTAAAGCAAATGGAGATACCTGACAGCTTAGGTGAATTTATTATTCTGCACGTAGCTCTGAAAACCGTGGACAGGCATACAAGACAGTTATTCGAACGCAAGTTCTCTAATAGGGAATATCCCTCCTTGTCCGATTTCATTGAATTTCTAAAGGAACACTGCAAGTCACTCGAAGCTGCAGGTGAGACACAACCTAACCTAAAGTTTGGACAGTATAAGGTAGGCTACAAAAATGCTCCAAACAAGACTACCTTTGCAAGTGCCCCGACCAAAAGGGTATTTGTTGTCAATAGCCCTACTACCAATCAATCTAAACCGCCAGTGACTTGTATTTCATGTGGTAGCCAAGAACATAACATTTATCGTTGCCAATCTTACTTAAATTTGTCTCCAACCCAAAGAAGAGATCTAATCAAATCCAAGGAAGCATGTTTTAACTGTTTAAGCATATCACATATGTTAAGCAAATGTCGTTCATCCCGCACATGTTTCAAATGTAGAAAATCACATCACACAACGCTTCATGTTTCTTATCCAGAATCTGATTCTTTGGTTAAGGCTACGCCGACATCAACTTCTAAGCAAGAAGAAAAATTATCCCCTGCTCCTACCTCTGCATTTACCTGCATTAGGCCTACATGTGATTCAAGCCCGAAAGACGAAACTTACTTTAAGCCTACAACCATTCTCTTAGGTACTGCCATTGTTCGCATTCTAGATGTTTGTGGTAATCCTCAACAGGTTAGAGCATTAATTGATGCTGGTAGCCAAAGTTCCTTCATTACTGAATCATGTGTCAGTCAGTTGTGTTTACCGAGACGGAAAGTTGTTCAACCAATTTTAGGATTGTCTGAAGTGTCTGTTTCCAGCAACAAAGGACTAGTACCCTGTGTAATCAAGCCTTTGCATCAAGATAACCCTTCACTGAGAACGGAAGCCATTGTTTTAAATCGAATCACTTCACCGCTACCTTCTACTGCTCTTGATGATAAGGTTAAAATGTTATTTCAAGGTTGGGATTTGGCCGATCCGGAGTTTTACCAACCTGGAAGAGTTGATCTTCTTATTGGTGCTGATTTGTTCCCACAGCTTTTTGACGGTGGGCGGCGTGATACGCCATCTGGATTCCCTACTGCCTTTCACACCATTTTTGGATGGTTGCTCATCGGTGAATCACGTTTGCCAATTCCAACGACTCAGTCCGTTTCTGTTAATTTAGCTATATTAGACCAAGTATCACTGGAGTCGAATCTGCGCAAGTTCTGGGAAATTGAAGAACCCCCGATGAATCATTGCCAAACTAGCCCAGAAGATGAACGATGTGAGTCAATCTACGCGTCAACAGTTCAAAGAGATTCAGCTGGTCGTTTTGTTGTTGACCTGCCCTTTAAAAATGATTGTCCCGACCTTGGAGAGTCGTACAGCAAAGCCAAGCATTGTTTTTTATCTCTGGAAAGAAAATTCAATCAAAATCCTGATCTAAAGGGAGCCTACTCAACATTCATGAATGAATATAGAGATTTGGGTCACATGTCCGAGGTTGTAAACTCTGTAACACCAGCTTACTACATCCCGCATCACGGAATCTTCAAGAAAAACTCCTCTTCGTCAAAACTACGAGTAGTATTTAATGCATCAGCTCCAACCTCAACTGGGAAATCACTAAATGATGAATTGTTAATAGGTCCGAAGCTTCAGACTGACATTTGTAAAATTCTTTCGCTTTTTCGCCTTCACTTGTATGTATTTACAACCGACATTGAGAAAATGTATCGTCAAATACTTGTCAACCCGCAACATAAGTCTTTTCAAGCAATTTTGTGGAGAGATAGCCCAGAGAAACCTATGTCTACCTTTCTTCTCAACACAGTAACCTACGGTGTATCAAGTTCACCATTCTTAGCCTTGCGTTCTTTAAGACAGCTGGCTTTGGAAGACTCCGAAAAATATCCTCTTGCAAGTGAGGTTATTTTAAACTCAATGTTTGTCGATGATGTCCTTACAGGAGGTGACTCACTTGATCACACCCTGAAGATAAAATCTGAACTAATCAGTCTCTTAAATTCTGGTGGATTTAAACTTAGGAAATGGTCCAGCAACAATCATAAAATATTAGAAGATGTTCCATCTGATGATCAAGAATTCATTTTTGGAGACGAAAGCTCTGCCGATCCCTCTATCAAAGTCTTAGGCCTTAAATGGAATCCAAATTCAGACAAGTTTTCTTACGATGTTCACATAGGACAACCACCTTCTACCAAACGTGGCCTATTGTCTCAAGTATCCAAGGTCTATGACCCGCTTGGGTTAATTACACCTGTAGTCCTTTGGGCAAAATGTTTGATCCAAAAAATTTGGACTCTGGGACTCGACTGGGATCAACCGCTGCCAATTGATATTGTTCGTCAGTCTTCCAAGTTTTTTGAAACTCTTCCTCATCTCAGCAACTTAACCATTCCCCGACTGGTTCTGCTTCCAGAAACCACTGACGTTCAGCTCCATGGATTTTCGGATGCCTCGGAAGTTGGCTACGGATGTGCTATCTACTTAAGAGTTGTTAATTCTGATGGAAAACCTCTTACCAACCTTATCATGGCCAAATCCAAAGTTGCACCCTTAAAGAAAATTTCAATTCCTCGCTTAGAGTTGTGTGGAGCAGTTTTACTTAGTAAAACAATGTTTTTTTGTAAAAACATGTTAGCCTACAAATTTGGAAATATACCCACTTTCGCCTGGACCGACTCTCTAGTAACGCTACACTGGATCCGCACCGCACCTCATCAGCTCAAGACTTTTGTGGCTAACCGGGTCGCTGAACTCCAGACATTGCTCGAACCCGCTTGCTGGCGACATACACCGACAGATACCAATCCTGCTGATTACGCCTCAAGAGGGCTACTACCCCATGAAATCTTAAGAAATTCTCTATGGTGGATTGGACCTAATTGGCTCATGGAGGAACCAATGTCTTGGCCGACTCAACCTTTACCTGCTCTAACACCCAACGAGTCACTGCTTGAGTTTCGCCCATCTGCGACATGTGCACTAGTTGCCGCCAAAGACACAAAGAATGAGTTCACTGCCTTAGTTGAAAAACATTCACAGTTCACCAAACTACAATCTTGTATAGGATGGATATTAAGGTTCATACATAATTGCCAAAAGAAGAAAGAGAAGATTACTGAACCATTTCTTACTTCTAAGGAACGTGCATCAGCCCTACACCTACTTGTGAAACTAACTCAATCAAGTTACTTACCTGATCACATTGATAAACTTGCTACTGATCAGACAAGTCATAGTCTTCAGCGGTTAAGTCCATTTTTAGATGAACAAGGACTCATTCGTGTGGGTGGACGTTTGAAAAATTCCCAGCTACCATACAATGCTAAATTTCCTATGTTGTTGCCAAAACAATGTCACTTAACCAACCTACTTATAGACCACTACCATCTCAAGCACTTGCATGTAGGCCCAAGAACCTTGCAGTCACTACTGTCTCAACAGTTTTGGATTATTTCAGCTAGGCAAGTCATCCGTCATCGATTATCCAAGTGCCTAGTTTGTGTTAAAATGAAAGCTAACTCCATTCAACCATACATGGGTAACTTACCTGGCTCACGAATTACGCAAAGCCGCCCTTTTCTCCATGTAGGCATTGATTTTGGTGGACCCTTTACCACAAAAACGGACAAGTTGCGCAAACCACAGTTTCTGAAGAGCTATGTATGTTTGTTCATATGTTTTAGTACAAAAGCAATCCATCTCGAGTCAGTCTCGTCTCTCTCTACGGAAGCATTCTTAGCTTGTTTTGACCGATTCGTCTCAAGAAGAGGTCTTTGTGCACATATCTACTCAGACCAAGCAACTAACTTCGTGGGAGCAGATCGAGAACTCCAAGAACTTCACAGTCTACTTCACAAGACTCCAACTTCAGATGCCGTTCTTTCAAAACTCGCCCAGATGGGAATCAGCTGGCACTTCAACCCACCTGCTGCACCACATTTTGGCGGACTATGGGAAAGTGGAATCAAGTCCATGAAGTATCACTTAAAACGAGTTGTTGGAAATCAGATTCTAACTTTTGAAGAGTTCTCAACATTATTGACAAAGGTCGAAGCAGTCCTCAATTCTAGGCCTCTGTGTAGTCTTTCAACTGATCCCAACGAGTATGAGACTCTAACCCCTGGACATTTTCTCATAGGAGAGCCTTTGGTAGCGATCCCCCAGACTGATTTAACAAACCTTCCACAGAATCGTCTTTCTCGCTGGCAAATGATCCAACAGGCACAACGATCCTTTTGGAAAGTATGGAGTCAAGATTACTTGCATCAGTTACAACAGCGATACAAATGGACACGTGATTCACCCAATTTGAAAATCAATGACTTAGTCCTAATAAAGGACAAAAACCTTCCCCCTTTGAAGTGGACTACAGCTCGTGTCATCCAGACACACCCAGGGAAAGATGGCATCGTCCGAGTCGCCACTCTGAAGACACCAGCTGGACAACTTCAGCGACCAGTCGTGCAGCTGTGTCCCCTTCCTCAAGAGAATTAATTTGTTTTTATTTGCCAAGAAGATGTTTTTCGTTGTGTTTTTTTCCTTTTCAAGAAATTTTGAGTTATTTACATAGAACTATGAGACATAAATTTTGTGTGAAAAAGACTAAATCTTTTTGGTGGGCGGAAATGTTAAGGCCAGATTTATTTTAGTTTCAAAAACATTTTATTTTAATCCCCTTTGCTTGACCAGAATAATTTCATTTTATTTCCCCAATACCTACAGCCAGTTTACCTATCCATCCTATAACCAGTATTCAAATTTGCCGCCATACCCCACTACCTCAAATCAAGAGTCACCTGGGAAGAACACTGGGTCACATGACCTCACTTCTTCAACATGGCTGGAACAACAGGAATCTACAGTATGAGGTATTCCTAATTTTAGCAATTCCTTTAGTTTCGCCACCTCCTACTCATTTTAATCATTCCTAATCGCTTTATTTTCAGAGGGCAATTACTAACCGAAGAGCCGTTGATTTACATAAAACTGTCAATAAAATCAATTACAACAATGAATATTGGCCGATACGTGACAGAGCTGACCACGGGGGGTAGATGTCCGGGGGTAGATTTCCGGGGGTAGATTTCCGGGGGTAGATGTCCGGGGGTAGATGTCCGGGGGTAGATGTCCGGGGGTAGATGTCCGGGGGTAGATTTCCAGTCGCGGGCTGTTTCTTGACCGTGTATAGGCCCCGCCCCTCGTGACGTCAAAATGACGTAGGCGTTTTTTCATGGGGGTAAATATCCGGGGGTAGAAATCCGCTACCCCTATGTGTCAAATACTGCTTCCATAGGATTACATTGAAACTTTAAGGGCCCGTGGGGCGGATTCCTAAGAGATATGTTTGACGCCATATAGATGTTGGCACTCACCGATATAGCATTTATCGCAAAATTTTAAAACGATTGCTTCAGCCGTCTAGGAGGAGTTTGCGTATTACGAAATGCATAAGAGTCGGCGTATAAGAGATTCGCTCAATAAATATATCTGCATTTAAAATTAACATATCACTATAGTCCTTTATTAAGCTCGGCCATTGTACATTTTATGCCACGTTTATAGTTCATTGGCCTTTATTTGGCATCATTCGGGTTTCCTCTATCAATTAAATCTCCCAGCCGATAGACGCATCCTCGTACTTGCTATTATAATATCACACTAATAGCCAACGTACTTATAATCTACTCTGGAAATGTATTAAAATTCGGTCTTATGTGATCGTTGATTAAAATGTAGTGTAAACGCTAACAAGAAAAAGTTTTAACAACTGCAAACAAACTCTGAATACGCTAAGATATTGTTTTAGTATAGACTAGCTGTTGTACCCGTGCATTGCAACGGAGAGGACACTGAATACAAAAAAAATATTTTGAATTATGTTATATAAAATAGTTACTCATTCCCCTTTGGTCTCAGGAACACAACACATCTGAAACTCTTAGTTTGAATAATACATTTCTTTAAGGCTAGGCTAACTTATAAGGCTACCAATAGTAGAGTACAAATTATATGAGGCACTTATGCATTTATGGAAATAATGTACCCATGGGTATGGATATAATTAAATTTTCAAATGATAAGCTTACTTAAACATTTATTTACTTGAAAACGTACATATAGGTAAATAAGAAAAAATAATCGCACAGCATTTAAAGCTCTCGTCTGTATTAAAAAAAAAAACAGTTTATATTGATTTTACATAAATAATTAATATTTTTTATCGTAACTGCTGAGGGCTTTTAATCTTTACCTGCAGATCAGTGTGTATATATCACAATAATAAGCAAAAATAAACTAATGGAAAACTTGTATTACTTTGTTTTAGAAAACCAACCACTATTATTGTTAATCAGGGCACAAATTTCATTAATTTTTAAATTTTGAAACATAGTTACATTACAGACATTTAATTGATTTTAGAAACAAAAGTGAAGCCAAATTAAAGCAGTGTTGTAAAAACACAACGAATAAGGAGATTTCTGTAATTGTAAAAAAGCGAATGTGAAGTAGATGATAGAAGAAAATATAAGTAGGTAGTAGCAACCTCTGGACAGAATAAAAGTAGGTATAGTTGAAATTTAAGTTTTTTTTTAAATTGAATTAAGACACAAATAAAAGTGTTACAAATAAGAAGTAAAACATTCAGTCAGTAACATTTTTAAAACTGTACCAGTACATATAATATCTCTTAGTATAATTTAAAACCTATTAATCCTGATCCAAACATTTGTTTATCAGTTCAAATTTGTAAACAAAAAGCTGCTACCATATCAACATTATTAAAAAAAAATTATACAATGAAATCCTTCTGTTTCCATGAAAATAAGTATATTTTCATAAATATTTTAATCAAACTATTCTCATAATCATAAAACTTGAGAATCTTGGGAGCAGAACCTTACCATAGTATTTACAGCTGACTTCAATTAATTTTTTTTACTATTTACATTCTTCCCATATGTAAACATTGAAACTTGGAAGCCCATGGGGCGTAGTTCAAGGGAAATTTAATAACAGGAATATGCCTATATGTTAACCAGGTATATAAGCTAACTTCATAAAAAATTGTATTTCAATCGGTTCAGTGGTTCTTGCGTTTCTAAGTAACAGACAGACACACACACAAACACACACCATCTCATTTTAGAGAATTTCCCATATAGGGAATAAGCTATTACCGTAGGTCTCATGGTAAGACCTGGACCCGGGACCGATTTAGTTTTTCGTTTTGAGGTCCCCAGAGGCCAAGAACACCATCCGTTCAAATTCATATATATATATATATATATATATATTTATATATGTGTCCGTTAGCGCGATAACTCGAGCAAAAATGATCCGATTTTGATGAAATTTGGTATAAACGTGTAAACCTACATTTATTCGAACGAGTTCGCGAACCAGCATGATCGGACTATGGGAACAGGGGTTTATGGGGGGTTTTATGGGGTAAAAATGGGTTTTTCTAATTTTTCACCCTGAAAACATAAAATTTTGCAATTTCTTTCTAAACCATTTTGTAGAGCTCAAAAAACAAATAATTTAGTATATTGAAGCATTGTTGCATGCCTAACGGTTACTGAAAAATCGCAAAATAGTGTAAATTTAAAATTACCATTTTATTCTTATGGAGAATAAATTCAGTGTTGTAGCTTGCTAGTCTATGGACATATTTTAATGAAATTTTGAAATTTTGTTTACTTCATACTAAGCAAAAAATATTTCAATAACAACCCCCTATTTTCTTTCCTGTAGCAGCAAACCTAAGTACGAGTAAAAATTCTGAAACTGCACAAATTAATTCATTATATATGTGTCTATATTGTATTAAAGTTTGATAAAGTTCTGACTTTTAGTTTACATTGTGCGAATTTACCAAGTCATAAGATGGTTTTTGATACCCTAAAAACAAGGAGTTTTTACCTTTTGATTGTCATAAAAAATTTCATAAAGGAGCTAAAAAATTGTTGTTTTCACAGGAATACGTAGAATGAAACAACGAAAATTTATATATACCACGTGTTTTCCTAAGTTAGTTTGGTTACTTTTCTGTAGAGCTCCAAACTCGAGTGTCTAAACCTTTTTCTCCGACAGTAGTTTTTATACTAAACCGCATTTAGAGTAAGTTTAAATAAAACAAACATGTTTCGAAACACATTTATTTGGAACCCTAGTTAATCTATTAAAACATATAACTTATTAGATAAACATGTAAATAATTTTCATTTTCAATTTCGCTACAATTAATTAAATTGTAAAGTCAATTCGTCTTCCGTAGACATTCCCTCATTTTCAATTTAGGTAGGTACCTAACAAACTTTTTCATATCATGGACGAGCAATCCATATAGATCATTTCCTCAACGAACTTCAATAAAAAAACTCATGATAGATATCATTTGTTGACCATTATTGTTGTGATGTGTTAGTCACTGGGATCGTGGAACGTTAATACTAATGATGGAATCGTGGAAAAGCGCCCATTCAGGCGGTGCTTCGTGGAAAACTTCAAAATGGTCTTGGTTTTTCCTCTCAAAGAATGGAAACGTCTAGGGTGAAAACATGGTTTGCGTTTTGTTTTTGGGACAGCAGATGTTTTAGGCGATTAGTGGAGATTACAGACAATAGAGGCAGAAAGAGATAGCTGGAGAATGTGTATGTTTTACTGGGCACGTACATCACAGTATCACCAGCAGCTGCTTGCATTAATTGACCTTGACCACCAACCAGGAGTTTTCTCACAGGGCCCAAGTAGAGCTTAACGATTTCAACCACAAACAATACTTTACTTTACTTTAATAATTTTAATTGAAATAATATTATTTATGAAAACAAATTCATAAAAAGATTTCTTAATTAGTGCAATTTGCAATAATTTGAAACAGTTTTCATTTGGTTGCTACTTACCAAATGTTTTTCCATTATTAGAGAGAACTATTTTAAAAAAGAAAGGCTTGAAAAAATGAGGTTGGAATTAAAGAATAAAATTTTGAATAAATAATTAGTTGAAGAATTATGTCTTTTCTTTCAAAGTTGAAGACACAATGGATATTTCATTAAACTTAACTTCCAATTTTGTATATTAGGTATTGAAAGTATTTGACATAGACTTGCTTAGAAATTGCTGCTTAAACCTATTATTTGATAAACTAAATACCTCGCATACTCTTTATGTAAGCGTAAGCCAATATTTTTTAATAGACGTAATTGGTTATTTTATTTGTAACTTATCACAATTAGTTTTTTTTTATTCAGAAATGTGTTTCATGTTAACAAGGCGTACTAACCAAACAGATGGTCGAAGACCATTGTTTAACTAATTGGTTTTATAATATTCTGAGAAGAATGTTTATTTGTAAAATAAAGCACTTTATTCATTAATTCTATAAAGACAGAAAAACATTTGCATTACCTCAGAGTAGTACTACAACATTATTACTCTGAGGCATTGCCGATGATTATGGGCACTAATTACATCTATGGACAGTGTCATTACAACTACACTGAGACATAAGAATTTATTTTTTTACGAAAAAAATGCTAACGACACAACTTAATTTGTTTTTTCCGTTTTTACAAATAGGAGTACCAATTTATTTGCTTTATTTCATATCTCTTTACATGCTCTGCACAGTAGTCTGGCAGATGTAACATCATGTATAAACATGTTAAAGAATTCCATCATTATGTGTATCATTCTAACCTTGTTTTGCCTTTTTGTTAGACTTAAAACTAGATGCAATTCTCTGAATCCTTCACATACTGTGCAAAGTAGTTTCCAAAGACTTTCTTATATCATGACTAGAAATTTCGCACTATATCATTAGGTCTATCTTTTTAACCTGTCTCAATCTTTAAGGTTACAATGA